AAGAAAGTCCACTCAGAAGAACGTCATAGTTATAGTAAGGCATAAAAAGTCATTAAAAACATCAAAGTATAGTAAGGCAATACAATAGTCATAAAACAACAATACAGTATAGTAAGGGATAAAACGTCATAGTATAGTAAGGCATAAAAAGTCATAGTATAGTAAGGCATAAAAAGTCATAAAAACGACATAGTATAGTAAGGTTTAAAAAGTCATAAAAACCTCATAGTGTAGTAAGGCTTAAAAAGTCATAGTATAGTGAGGCATAAAAAGTCATAAATACGACATAGTATAATAAGGCATAAAAACGTCATAAAAACGACATCGTATAGTAGGGCATAAAAAGTCATAAAAACGACAGTATCGTAAGGCATAAAAAGTCATAGTATAGTAAGGCACAAAAAGTCATAAAAACATCAGGAGATAGTAAGGTATGAAAAGTCATAGTATAGTAAGGCACAAAAAGTCATAGTAAGGCATAAATAGTCATAAAAAGTCATAGTATAGTAAGGCATAAAAAGTCACAAATACGACATAGTATAGTAAGGCATAAAACGTCATAAAAACGTCATAGTATAGTAAGGCATAAAAAGTCATAAAAACGTCATAGTATAGTAAGGCATAAAAACACCATAGTATAGTAAGGCTTAAAAAGTCATAGTATAGTAAGCCATAAAAAAATCATAATATAGTAAGGCCAAAAAACCATAGTATAGTAAGGCATAAAATGCCATAATATAGTAAGGTATAAAAATTCATAGTATAGTAAGTCACAAAAAGTCATGGTATAGTAAGGCATAAAATGACATAGTACAGTAAGGCATAAAATGCCATAATATAGTAAGGCATAAAAATTCATAGTATAGTAAGTCACAAAAAGTCATGGTATAGGAAGGCATAAAATGACATAGTATAGTAAGGCATAAAAAGTCATAACATAGTAAGGCATAAAACGCCATAATATAGTAAGGTATAAAAATTCACAGTATAGTAAGTCACAAAAAGTCATGTTATAGTAAGGCATAAAATGACATAGTATAGTAAGGGGGAAAAAAATCATAATATAGTAAGGCAAAAAAAAGTCATAGTATAGTAAGGCATAAAAAGTCATAGTATAATAATGCATAAGATGTCATAGTATAGTAAGGCATATGATGCCATAGTATAGTAAGGCATAAAAAGTCCTAGTATAATAAGGCATAAGATGTCATAGTATAGTAAGGCATAAAAATGTCATAGTATAGTAAGGTATTAAAAGTCAAAATATAGTAAGGCATTAAAAGTCCAAGTAGGGCATAAAAATATCATTATAGGCATGTTTTAGATGTTTCCTGAAGGTATTCAAATAAAACACACAAGAATTCCTCATTTTGTAAATAGTAGGCCTATAGGCTAATGGCTATAAGCAGTAAGGAACAATCACCCCCATTGTTGATAACAAATAAGGAATTATAATAGAGCTTAATGAATCTCAACAGGGCTGCTGGCTGCAGTGCAGTCCAGCCAGACCGGTCTCTGAGAACTTGTGCTTCATCTCCAGGTACAACAATTGCAAAATGCAAACACCAACATTTAAAAAAACAAAAAATAGTAATCAAATAAATCTCAGACCAAACAGCAACAGCGGCTCTTGTGCGTTGGGCAGTGCCATGTCAATTAAAATGTTTTTATTTTTTCTGTAATATTATGACATGGAAAAACGTTAATTGGCAATAGTAGAAGGATAGTTAATACTTCTCTATACCCTTTGGTGTCTTTTACTTCACTAGGCCTACATTTATCTGACAGCTTTAGCCTTCAAATAAAGCCAAGCCAAGTACCGTAGCCCATTGTGGTGCCTAATGCGCGGTTCTTTAAAATGCTGGCGATTCCAGTTGTTAAAATATATATATATATATATATATACTCTACTATTGATATATATGTATATACACACACATAAACATCTCCTGGGGCATTTCAAGCACTCTTGGGGGCCCCCTTGTGGCCACGGGGGCCCTAAGCACCTCCTTAGTTTACTTGGGCCTTGGGCCGGCCTGGATGCTGGGCTAGGAGGTATGTGTGTGTGTGTGTATGTGTGTGTGTGTGTGTGTGTGTGTGTGTGTTTGTGTGTGTGTGTGTGTTTGTGTGTGTGTGTGCGTGCAAGCGTGTATGTAAAGATATACACGTTTTATAACGGATGACGATGGATGGCTTTTGTGTTTTCAGTGTTTTATGCTGCATTTCCTGTTTAATTTTCAATGCATTATGCAAAGCACTCTTTCTGACAAGCTTACTATTAAAGCTTATTTTCAAAAACCTTGCCAAAAAATGTTTATTAAAATGAAATTAATGTAAGAACTGGGACAACAGACTTAGGTTTTGTACCAATTTTTTTTTTTTTTTTTTTTTAAACGTAGGGGAAGGTGATCTGTTACACGTTATTTTAATGTTCCAGTTTTTACTTTGTGTTAGACATAATTTGATCATTTGGTGAGTGCCTTGTGTATTTTTGACAGATTTTTTAATAGTGAGAGTTTGTTGAGTTTTTTTTCATTTGTTTGCATCAATTAAAATAAAATAAACTTTCACTTTACAAAAATAAACTGTTTCTCCTCTCACAGTTTGATCAACCGACGCAGATTGAATTCATTGTGCCTGCGCATCAAAATAAGGACACAAATGCATTCCACTGGAAAACAAAAGATTAACCTTACATAACTTCCGACCAGTTCCAGGTCTCTTCCTCTTGTCTTTGCCAGCGATTTTAATAAGGCATGCTCTAGTTTGCTTCATCATGCTCGAATGAAGATTAACAGGACACATAAAGCAGGGGTACAAGCAGCTCAATCAGACAATCTGTGGTAAGACTTTAAAGCTTAACAGGGTTATTTTGGGCTACTACCATGTAATGTCCCCTAGCTATTTTCACCCAGTGATCTGTCACTGTGTTTCCCCAGCGTAGCTAAATCCCTGATACATAATAAAGACTTCATTAAGGCATCTGACATTATACGCTCCGCTCAGGAAATTATACGCTTAAGATTTTTTGTGCCCTACTTGACTTCTTAATGCATCAATGCTCTCTGCACTTCTGAAGGAAACAAACTTGGTGACTACTTTACTCGGTGCACCTCCCCATTAATAAACAACTTACTTATTTCCACACAGAGGAATGTGGCTGTGAGTCAGTAAATGCCCCTGTCTTTGTTTTCGTTTTCACGCACACTTCTGTCCTCTCTAATGCATTTGACACAACATGTAAAAATGAAAGCATAATTCAAACAGAACAGGACATGCTGGATGCATTAATATTTAAGTACTTTGCTTGACAGTTAGTCATGTATTAGACCCAGACTAGGCCCATGGAAAGGCCCCAAGAGTGTAGTGATGGGAGGTTCAAGTGTTAAATTGCTTCGAAATACATCAGGTTGGACCTCTTAAATGGCTCTTGCGTACTTTTACTTGTATGTAGCACATTATCATTTGTTTTTGCTCCGTACCCAGAGCTGCACCCATCACACCCTTCTCTGCCAAGTAAGCAGGGGAAGGCAAGGCTGTGGTTATTTCCCTGAAACAGTATGCACCAGTGCAGACTGACTAGTGTCAGTCTGAATCGTCTAGGTAGAAAGCACTGCAAAAAGATGTATTATAGTAGTACTGATAGCTGAACCATGCAGAGAAATTAACAGCTATGTACCTTAACAGTGTGCACAACATACAGTCCATGTTAAACCATAAGAATGTTTCTGAGAACTGGTTTTTTTTCCCATACTTACCTGTAAACCTACAGCAACTGTATATCATGAATTTGTTTGGTCGGAATGCAGCTCACTGCACTTCTGCTAGGCTTTGGGTATTTCTCATTATAATGCAGATACAGTATCTTCTTTTTTTCACATATATTTGTTAATTCATGAGTCACCATGTTAGAAGCTTTTATCTTATGTTTCAAATTTAATCATTTCTTCTTTACACACTTCGGTTTTTCTGTAATTGCAAGCTTTTTGCTCATTTATTAGACTCATGGGAGATTGTGTTTCATTTCAGATAGCTGTGACTGTCTCACTCAACAGCTGTGATAGCACTAATTTGGATTGGTTTATGCATTCCACGGTGAAATTTAGCTTTTATGATTGGTGGTCACTTCTCATATAATGCATTATTATTTTTCCTTATTGCATACATATTTATCATTACAAGTTTATTCTAATTTATCGCTACAGCATGTTTTTTTTATGACTGCAGGTGTATTCGGTGTTCACGAACAGATCAGGTTTATATCTGCAGAGCATTTAAAAATCATACAGCTGATTTGCCTTCAAGAAGATTATAATGAGTTTCTAAATGCCTGATTAGCTTTGAAGGTATTATAGCCTCATGAGCCAGTGTTGCAGAGCACTTAATCTTTAAAAAGTGAATCTATAATAAAGATGGTCCTCTGAATATTTACACACCATTTCCTTTTCTTAACTGTGTGAAGAAGCCTGATCATCTGACAAGAGTTACGTGTGTCTCTGCAACAATTTCTCAGGCATCACACCTGTAACAGCTTACAGGCTTTTAGTGGCATAATTTCTCTGGTTTGAGAAAGTCACAGAGACTTGTTTCTCGAGAGTTAAGTAACATTGTCACTGCTAGGCTTTTGCTTGGTTAGAACGATCGTGGCAGGAAAGTGTTAAGTTCATCAAATTTCATGCAAGCCCATTAATTATGATTAATTTGAAAATAATAAAAGAGATACAAACACAGAGGTCAGAAAGTCAGACCTAGTTTGTATGTCATGTTGTAAAAAGGTAAAAGTACTGGTTTATTAATTTATATGACATAATTATTAGATGATTAATACTGAAGAATTTTGTGTAAGCAGCATGTTACTGTTGTTGCTACTGGAGGTGGAGCTAGTTTGAACTGCAGTTTTCTACACAGGGACACAAGATACCCTAAATCTGAGGGCTCGTGTGCTGCCCACAACTCTGAGTTGGTTCAGACACAAACACACGGAGAGAACAGTCTCCTACCAGTGTGGCTCCCTGAGAGTCCTGCTGGTTGACCTCCTCTCCCTGTCTCAGCAGTTCCTGAATGTCTCCCAGCATCCTCCTCTCCGTTGACGCTCGTGTCTCATTGATCATCTCCTGGGTGATGCCTGTCAATCACACACGCAGGAAGGAGAGTGTTCATCACAAGGGAGACAGTTCATTTCCTGACAGCCTTAATATATGACCATTGCATGCTGACAGGGGCAGTTTAAATCTGAGGCACATGGAGGGTGGAGCAGCAACTCAGGTGGGATAGAGTGGGGACATAACGCTTTAAAAGTGAAAGCTTTTTTCTAGATTTTAAAGTAGACTGGACGTTTTCATGAGACAGCAGCAGACACTGTTTTTTTGTCACATCACAGTGATCTATAATGGGCACAGCGAGAGCCAAACTTAAAGGTGAGCAATTTATAGCATTCTGAATAAAATAAAGAATTTAAATAATGTTAATGGTTATAACAAACAGATTAAGTTTCACATGATCACTTTCTGACAAATGGGTACACCATTTTTAAGATCAACACAGAGATGCAGTACAGCATTCATATTTTGATTTTAAATATTTGAAAGAAATTAAATGATTTTCTCTGGGTGACAAACAGTAGTTTTCTTTCATGCTGGCCTCCCTTTCGTCTTTTGGCAAAGTTTTGTGGTGCTTGGCCCAGTTGAGGCTCTGGTGATTCTGGCTGTCACAACCACTCTAAATTTTTCCGTTAATCCACCGCTCTGCTGCCAGGTAGGACTCAATACTGTGACCGCCACACTTCGGGGAAAAACTTATCCTTCCACGGCTCAGCAGTGATGTACTGTACTGTCCAGCAAATTTAAATTAGTGTCCGATTAACAATAATGAAAACAGCCTCTCAGTCAGAACTCTTATATTCTTGCAGCGTGGGACTAAATGTGAGTTATTTGAAGGATGAATAAGGCCCATGAGGTCTAAAGCTACAATAAATTAGTTTAAGTGTTGTGGATGCAAATAAGATTACATTCCTTTTTTGAGAAAACATGAGAAACAAACCATTTTTATTTATTTCTCCGCAGGAGAAGGTTAATGATCCCTTAAATGAAAGCAGCTGGAAATTTGGAAGTTGGAAAAGTCACAGGAGTTGGTAATTTAGGTTCTTTTATGTTATTCAGGGATTTTTGTGGAGCATGGAAAACAATCCCCTGAGATTTAATGTGAAATAAAAAGTAGAAGTAGTCAGGCATCACCTAATTTACATATTTTACTATAAGTATTTGAGCCCTATGACCTTTATTGTGACACTGAGTTATAAACTGAACCTGGGCAAGTAAGGCTTAAAGCAAATCTATCCACCCATCAAACACTCTAGCCTCCAACTTGCCATTTTAAAGTTAAATACCTGCTTCACAGTCCCCACACTCGTCTCAGCAGCACAATGTGATGGCCAGTCATCGTGATAGAGGTGCTAAAAAATGGCGAAGGGGGAAAGTGGTATTTCTCTCTGAATTCACAATCAGAGTCACAGCCGGAGGGTATTTAAAGGCGCAGGAAACGGCGCGATGATGGTCCCCTTTGTCGACATAAATGAAATGCACCCTTCCAGGTATGATTTTCTTCTATTATCTGTCGTTTGTTTCCGGCAAGAATCAGTCTCACCAGCCTTGTTTCTGTCATATTTTGTAGTGATGCCCAACACAACACCCCAAAGGATTTAAAAATGTAAATACAACAAACATTCCTCATTGTCACACTGCAACAAATGTAGCAAACAGAAAAACTGTCCATATCTTGTCACATAAATAACCAGACAAGAGCAATTTGATCCTAGGATCTCATCAGGAACAAAGATGGGTTTGTGGAACAGAACTAGCACCTAATTCCTCACAAACTGTGACCAGCTTTTTCTGAGCTAAACTTCAAGTGTAGCTGTGTCCTGCAATGGCAAACGATTTAAGACTGAATCACTGACAGATTTGTTATCACCTGCGATGGCCTATCATAGTCAGTAGTGCTATTTAGCACTCACTCATCCCACATTAGCTCCGTGTAGGTTTATTTCCCTTTTCACCAAGGACTGTAGTTCCAGGAAGGGTAGTGAGCAGTAAACCTAAATTGGACTACAACCAATCATTATTTTCAGTATTTAAATGCTGTGTTGATTTTTCTTTCTGTGGTCTTTCAGTCTATAAAATGTCAGACAACTGGGGAAAAATATCCATCACAGTTTCCTGCAAATCTCTGTAAATGTTTTGTTTAGCTTCACCAACAGACCAACTTCTAGATATTCAATTTAAAATGATATAAAGTAGATTAAAGCCTGTGGTCTGTGGATAAAATCTTATCGTAATCGTATTTTTGTGCTTTATTGAGCAAGTTTAAATTTGTTTTAAACTGATTGGTCACACAAGATCTGCAGACAAATTAGATAATGTTGCTTCCCAGAGCCCAAGGTGTTGTCTCCAAATGCATTGCTCTGCCTGACCACTAGTTCTAAATATAAAGATAGTGGACTGTTGAGTTCAATACACATATTGAACTGAGTGATGTAAAAAAGAGAAAAGCAATGTTGCTCAACAAATTACTTTAACAACAAATCGATTATTAAAATCAACAAATAATTTCAGCACTGAAACCTTTAAAATAATCCTTCAGAAATGCTATTTTTCATCCCTCCATTAGTCTTTCAATTTGATTCAGGGGACAAAATGTCATCAACTGTGTCAGTTGTGCAGCCAATGGATTTGACTTTGTCTACATTCCCGACTCTCTTTCACCAGTCTAATTCCTGGTAGACATTTTCGCCTTATCGCTGCGGCTCATCACGGATGAACTAGGCTCTACAGGGGAGGATCAAGGAGGAGTCAGATCAGTCAATGCTACATATCAACTGCTGTGAAAGTGTGTGCGTGTGTGAGTGTGAGTGTGAGTGTGAGTGTGAGAGAGAGAGAGAGAGAGAGAGAGAGAGAGAGAGAGAGAGAGAGAGAGAGAGAGCCCATGTGCCCATCCCTGTGGAGAAGTCTTATCCAGCAGTACAGTGCTGAGAACATTATGGGAGCAATTAGCAGTGCTGCTCTCCCTTTGATCGGCTTAATAATCATTCTTCTCACCTAGTGTACCGCTATCTGTATTCTGCGGCTGGAGAGATCCTATTGTAAGCTGAGAACCTCATTTTCGAGTGTCTGTTTTCTCTCTCCAAGCCCCCACCCTCCCTCACTCTCTCTCTCTCTCTCTCTCTCTCTCTCTCTCTCGGTATGTTGGTTTTCAATACTGTCTCACATTCATGAGTCGACCCACACAATGGCTGTCATGTGTCCTATTTGCACTGCTAAAACTATCAAAATCATTAACCCTGCACTTGTTTACAATGCAGTGCTTATCATAACAGGGATTTCCTGACCTTTAATTATCCAGGGAAATATGACTGAGCTCATGTTGCTCTCCAGCACCACCCTGCCTCCACACAGCCTTCTGCTGTTTACCACAAAGCAGCGCCACTGAAGCATTTGGGCTTTAGTGCAATATTGAAGGGCACCTTGACCAGGGAAAATTCCAGCACTTTTCAACCCTCTGTTGTTTGCTGCAACTCCTCTAGCATGAATACATGCTAAATCGACAGCAACCCACAGCCTCACACATGTGGGACTGCCCCCAGTAGAATAGCTAATCTGGGGGTACTTTCTGTCTATGAGACTCCAAGACAAGCATCTGAAATACTTTCTGTAAAATTGCCGGAAAGGTTTAGGAGGCTTTTTGCCTTGATATAGTCGTTTTACTGGGGTCAGCATTAACCTCCCGTAAAAGAACAAATTGAAGTTTTCATGTTTTTTTAAGCATGCTTTCAATCTTTTCATCTGACTGTCAGGAAGCGAATAAGTGTCATTTCCCAAAATTCCTCTTCCTATAAACCAACCACATTATAGCAGTCAATCTGGACATTCATACCATAATATTTCTTCTAAAATCAAAGCCCTTGCAACCACAGATTTTGCTCGCTTGTTGCCAACTATGCACACGCACTCCTGCCTGTAGATGTAACTGCAGACTGGAAAACAAAAATAAAACAAGAGCTTATGTTAAGCAGTCTGGTTGTAAGTAACGTCACCACGATTTTCTTTATGTCAGTGTTTGATTGTATCACACAAACAGAAATTTAAACACATCAGAAACAAGTGCAAGTTTCCCCTCCATCACTGATGTGCATCCATGCGTATGCCAGCACTGATCTCCTTGAACTCTTTCTCAGTCATGTCACACAGACAAAGTGAGCCGACTGTGACTGTTTACAGTGACACAGCAGGAATATACAGTACTGCAATCTGCATCCTGTCGGGAGTGAGAGTACTGTGAATATCTCAGAGCTCCCTGAAGTGTCAATCCTTAGACTGTGTGGGACACTAAGTGCTTTCTGAGGTCACAGCCCCACTGCCATCCTTCTCAGCAATCTGTTCCTGTGCCAGAAGCTTCAAACACTTATGTAGTGCTGCATAGGTTAAGCAAACTTTACATTGTATATGACAAGAAAAGGAATGTGCGTCAAAAACAAGTGTCAAATATAATTGTGTGACATTCAACTTTAGCTAAACCCCTCTCCAATCACATCTTACTGTAACTACACACGTCCGTCAAGCTTTTTTCCTTCACATGCTGAAGCAGTGCGGAAGGAGCTCTAGCAAGAGCGATATTCTTACCCTTAAAGAGTTTGGAGGATCATTTTTAGTCTTTTCAACACCAGCAACACATGAGCAAACTGTGTTTATCTGATTGTACCTTTTACACTGCAATAAAAGACCTACGATGTTTTTTTATTGACATGTATTCTACGTGGCAGCTTTAGCTTCCATTTTTTTTAGTCCAATATCATGTAAATAGCCGTCAAGTGCATATTCAAAACCCTTTCACAGGACTGAAGTTTGAAAACGATTCAGCTAGAAACATTAAAAAGTGCAGACTGTGTTTTCAACCAATTTATGGAGCTAACATTCGCTCAATTAGCTAGCTAGGTAAATCTGCTAGCGACAGTCATTTCAGCCAGCTAGAAATTAGAGGCCAGCTTTTGGCAGCCTGTGCCTGAAATCAAGGACTCATTGTTTCAACAAATTAGTGAGAATTTGAGATGGTAAGTATGGCATCATTATCACTGTAAGCTGCACATGTGCCAGAATGAAAACCTTGGACAGGTTGTACTGGCCTGATCTTACACCAGTATGACTCTCAGCTTCACAAAAACATGTTGTACAAGGACTATGAGGGTCAGAAAGCCTAACTGGCTTAATATTGAAGAAAGTAGACACTGTACTGTACTGCACATGGGGAAGTAGCATTATGTCATTTATTCAGTCTTTCTGCAGACATTGTGAGACTGAATTAATATGCTCATCCAAAAGACTCTGTCCTCGGACCTCAGTGTCTGTGGGTCTGACGTCTCTTCAAGCATTTATACTCTACCTCTGTTGGCCATGGCCGTCTCAATGATGTCCAGTGTTGGGTCGTCTTCACACAGGTCATAGGGCATGTTCCCGTCAGAGTTGACCGCCAGCAGATCTGCACCGCTGTGGGAAACGAGCAGATAAATAATTAAACAAATCTGGCATATTAATTGTTACTAAATGTACAATTTCCGTGGCTAGCTTGAGGACTAGAAGAGGAAAAGTCGTTTCATATATTGTACTTAATTACCATTATCTGTGCTCCAAAGGCACTCAAAAGGGTAAAAATGACTGACTGGTAAAATCAAATTTGTGACGTTTTTTTTTATATCATACTGAAACCTGCTGATCTATAATTCAAGGTCTTGGACAGGAATGACACAATAAATCTCAGTTAAAGCATTAATTGATGGTGCTAATTAAATTCTTTCAGTCCAGAACAAGTTGACCTGCATTATTCAGCAGTTTTTAATTACTCATTTCACTGTGGATAATGAGTCCAAGTGTTATGATGAATGGTTTGACAAGTTCCGCATGTCAACAGATGGTAGCAGTGTGTCTGTATGTTTTGTATGTGTGTGTTGTGTGTTGTTTCCAGTTACTGCATAAGGGCTGTAATTCAGCCCTGTATGTACACAGGCAGAAACAATATTAGGCGAGTTCACACACAGTATCTTAACTTGTCTGCATCGGTACACGCCTCTCTGTGTGTGTACATGTGTATTGCTGGTATGCCAGATAATTTTATTAAATCCTAATTAAATATGTCTACAATGTATGAGATTATATGACTCTATTCTCAGTCCAAATGTGCAGGTGTGTCATATAATGAAGACATTTTTGCCTCTGGAAAACCTCAGTCAGTGTTAAAGAATTTTGAATCACATTTGCATAACTCATGACTAATAAAAACTCAATTTGTTCAATTTGTAAATCATTAAATGTCCTGGGGCTGGAATCACAGCATGATGATATCATCATATCATGTTATTGTTTTGCCAAATTCTGTTATCTAAATTAATGATTCTGTGCAAAGCAAAATTTGAGCCTTGAGCGGGTGGTGGTTCGGCCATTGTTGCATGTAACACGGCCTCTGAGCAGCCGGGGCTAGCTGGTTAGCATGCTAACTTCAGTAAAAGAAAAAAGATAGAGACAAGAGTAAAGGCTGGTATTGCTTTCCACCGCTGGAGACAGCTCTTGGTGAGAAAGTTTTATGCTGAACTCAACAACAACATTCAACATTTCTAGACTGGTAAGTAAACAGCTGTTAATGCAAACGTTGGCTATGTAGCCATAGTAGAACTTACAAATAGCTCTGTTACAATCTGCAGATGTCTAGGAATAAGGGAAGCAACATATTTCCGATGTAGTCAGGCAAGTACTGCCTTTTACTGCTTAGCGACCAAAAAAACACAGGTTACAAAGACAAAATATCACTCAATAATGGAAGAGCTCCTTCACAAAATTATTCAAAGCTTGAATGCCAAATAATCAACAGGAAATGAATCAAATGAGGCAAAGAACAAAGGGGAAGGGCTGCGGGTGGCGCCAAATCATGAAACAAACAAAACAAACCATGCTTCCAAACCCAACAATCCCCACTGAATTCCTACAGCCGAAAATAGCTGAAACAAACGAAATAAAGACCGACCTGCATATACTAATTTTACCTGCCAAAAACAAAACACACTCTAGCAGCCAACCATAAGACCTAGCATTAAACTAGACAGTTGAATTATCTGCAGGTGTGGTGCCGAAATAAGAAAAGTATGAAAATAACAAACAAATTAACCTTAACCGAGTGTCCAGATCCTGACATCACAGAACTAATGCTTCAAACGAGTTAACATCAATTTACAGACCAAAAAGACCAAAGTTAACTTAAGAGCCAACTGTCACACAAGTTAACGTTACAACACAGGCACAGAGGCGGACTGCTCAGATTGAATCACAGCCGCCTCTGACATTTTCACGAAGCAGCTTTTATCAGTTTGAGGACAGGACCAGGCAGGCTTGTGATTGGCGGCTAGGACCAGTGATGCAAAAGGGGAGGGACTAGCCAAAGACAGGGAACACCGGGGCACAGACACAGAGGGGCGGTCCGGAGGCATTGACCAAGGGGGAATCCCTCCGGAGAAGCGGATGACAAGTTGACCAGCCTTAATTAACAGAGGAACGACTGCACCACACAATAAAACATAACAATACCAAGAGCTGTCACCCAAAGGCAATAACAAGTACCTTTAAACATCAATGGGGTGACTATATACATTTGCCATATCACAACACATTCTATATTGAAATTGGAAAAATATGCCGTAATATTATTGTGATACTGATTTCAACCATATCTCCCAGTCATAATATGTCCTATGCTTCTTTCCCCACAGGGGAAAAAAATGGAGAATGATGCCATTCATGCCTTCAATTCTTTTTCCAATCTTTGACTTTGTAAAAAAAAAAAAAAGAAGAAAAAAAAAGTATTGTTTTTTTATGCTACTGCTAGTGTGGGCTTGGCATTTCCTCTACTGCTGGGAGCACTGCCATCAATCTGCGCTTCTCCAGGTTGCATCCTCTGTTGTTTTTGTATCTGGGAAAAACCTCATTTCTCTTGCCCAGAACTCAATTAAAAAATAATTCATAGGTTCCTACAAATTGCCTATTGTGGCCCACTGGGGACAGTGGTTGCATTTATACCTGAATATCTGACACCACAGCTATGCCTGTTTACTTGAGACTGAGGTGTGTGAACAGTGTTTTCCTCAGGAAATAGGTGGTAAGCACTGCCCACTCCCTCATCTGAATACAGCCATTGATTGATTGATAGTCCATCTGATTAGTACTTGTAAAAAATGAAGGTTTTTTTCCCACAACACTGTGATGCAATGCGCTGACTAAATAATGTGAAGTGTTCTTACAATGTGATCGATAAATCAACCAATCACCTGCTGAACTGAATCAGGGAGATGCTGGTGCATATCATCTTGATATCAATTAAGTTACTATCCCTCATTAAATACGTGGCCTTTGCTGTGAAAGGTGGCTCATCACCACTGCTCATTTTCCCTGAGGCCTAATAAGCGCAATATTACATTTCCTAAAAACAAAGGAACCTCTTCTGACATTAGAGGCAGGAAGCCTCCTATAAAACACTGCAGGAAACCTTGGTGACTTACTGTGCGATGAGTATCTTGACCAGTCCTGCGTGGCCACAGGTCGCAGCGGCGTGCAACGGTGTCCATAGCTCATTGTCTTGAGCGTTAACACTGGCTCCTCGGTCCAGCAGGATCTTCACCATCTCCTCATAGTTATCTATACAACACTGTGTAGAGACAGAGGGCAGAAGAAGAAGGGGGAGAGAAGAGATGTGTTTAATTTTTGATACTGTAATACTCGCTAGTGTGATATCTTAAAACCCTGGAGCAGACACAGAGGAAATAGAGTGAGGAGAGATAAATGAAATGTAGAGAGGAGGACAGAAAGAAGCAAGGAGGTAGGACAGTGAGAGGCATTGAGTTGGACAGCAAAGGGACGGGATGAGAGACAAAACAAAAGAGAAAAGTCAGATGTAACAAAGTTAACACTTGCTGCTGTAAACTGCTGTTTTTTTAACTTCATAAATAATGTGTTAACTCTGGTGACAAACTGAGATCCACAATTTCCTCTTGTTTGAAGAAAAATTTCAAATGCTGGCTGAAAAGGAGCTTTTAGTCTGATGTAGCATTTAATTCATACAGTGAATTTTTCAGTTGTGCTGCACTGATGCTGTACGCTTCAGCACCTTCATCACTGCAGGAAAAGAATGAAGAGAGACTCATTTGTCACCAGTAGCAGAGACGAACAAGAAGTCCATAAAGAAGTCAAACCCCATCTCTAACAACGTCCTTTAACAGCGTATTGCAGAGTGCAAAATGGAAAACACATTAAGCCAATTTGGACAGAGTCAGTCTGACATCTCAGCCTTTGTGTGGGTTGTTCCCTGGACCTGAGACAAAACTGGAAATGCAGCCATAACTCACACCCATCTGCAGAGAGAGACAAAGACACAGGGACAGAGAGTATTTTCTCTGTTAAACTTGGTGTTATTATAGGGTGGAGAGGAAGGAGAACTTTCCATGAAAACCATCCTCCTATGGAGCTGCTGTCAGCAACAGCAGTTTTCGCCATCAGAGCTAATTGGTGTGAGAGTGTCACACTCACACCATGCGGCTCACCAAAAACAAAGACGACTGAGAAGACAAGAGAGAAAAACAATATATATATATAGACAGACATGGGGTTAAAGAACGGGATTACTTTGTCACAGTAGGAGAGTCAGAAATAATCAGAAAGGATTCAGAGCAAAAGCCTTGTTTCCAAAGTCTGCGAGGGGCCTCTCAGCAAGCATGTTATTATTTTTGCTGATAAAGTTGTGGGTTTGAGTCTGGTTCATGACATTTGTCTCATGTTATCAAGCCTTCCATTACTCCAGTGTATAGTGTACTTAAGAGTAAAAGTCAAGATGCTTTTTTGTTTCCAGAAAAAGCTGTGTGTTTTTACTAAAGAGCACCTCCACTTTCGTGAGAAGCCACTGGAGTGTTGTCATCTCTCTACTCTCTGCTTTGAAATGAAAATGAGACATCTGTCATGATGAAATACAAAATCGCTTCTGACAAAGTGACTGCTGTTATTCCCATTATAAAGCCTGAGCGTACTTTACTGAAGATTTATACAATCAGAGAGAAAAAAACATTTGTAGCAAATAGAGAGAAAATAGAGGTAACAAGAAGAAGAACCAAATAAATACAATCATTTTTAAAAATTTTGTTCTGTTATGGGTTCTGGAAAGCAGCAGCCTATCCCAGCATGCATTGTGAAGGAGGCAGGGACCCCTAGACCTGGACAGGTCACTTACTAGTCCATCACAAGGTGAACACAAGTCTCTAATTGTTTACTATTTTAAATCTGTCATTCCTACCCACGGTGGTATGGTATCATTTAAATTATACTGATGGGAAATCATTTTGATTTATATTATTATAATTTGTAACAACAGACAAAAAAATTCAATAATAGTGGGTCTTTTTTGGCTTAATAACAAAATGTCTACAAAGCTGGTTGTTCTCTCTGCGACTGTCCTCTATCTCCTGGCAACTGATAAATTGAGGAGCAGTGAAGTTTGTTTCCAGACCAGAAAGGATGAAAGTGACTGATACCAGCACCATCAGAATCTGGCTACAGTATGTAGTACTACTGCTAATAGTTGTAGTAGTAGTAAGTAGCTGAGTTACAGGCATTATTCAACAACCTGCTCATCCTGCCTGCAAATGTGTCATCACTCTTATTCGCCAAGAAAAGGCAACATACAGTTACAGTATTCTGCAAATGCCTTACCCTGATAAGTCTAATACAAATTTGAAATATAAAGTGACCCATAAGGAATAACATGCATGGATGAATGAATAAAATCACTGTATTTTCTAATCTCAAGCGACACCCGTCTCTTGCGGTTGAAGTGCTGACAAAAAGTGCAACTCTTTTCAGCTGTGAATTAAGTGACATTACTGGCTTCCTCTGCTGGAGCCTTTATGTTAATCTGACGACATTAGATCCAAAGTTGCACAATGTTTAAAGTGTTACAGAAATATTGGTGCAACGATGAATTTTGTTTGCAAAAAAACAGAACTTCTCACCTTTCCCCATTTGTCTTTGAACCTTCCACCACACTTTACATGCTCACTATACAGTATAAACCTGAGGTGTGAAGAGAGGACACGCCTTCTCTCTCTCTCTATTTTATGGATTTACACGGGGGACGAGCTGGAGTGCAATCTCTAGAGGTTTCTAGTATCTGAGAGAAGAAGCGAAGGCAATTCAGACAGTAAAACAGAGAGAGGCACAAACATGGATATAAACCAGCAGGATGGAAATCTCAGGAAAGCTAAGAAAAGAGCAGATTTGAAGACAGAAGAAAATCACTTTGGGAAATGAAAACAACAACAGCAGACTCTCCTCTCCAGCATCCAATTCACATCATTAAGACTTGGCTATGCTCTCAAATTATTTTAGAACAATAAATGGGCTTACAGCACCAGTAACACACCAATGGATGAAAAATGAAAGTAGAAACTAACTCTTCAGCATATTTTTTTAAACACAATTGTGGCAATTAAATATTCTAAAAAAAAAAAAAGTAAATGTTATGATTATCAGCATCAAGTGTAATCCAGCCAACATGTACTGAGCATAGGCCATGTTGTTTTGTGACAAGGCGACCAGTATGACTGTGAGGTGATTCACTGGTTGGGACTGTCACCTTCGGTTCCACATACATCCCGTGATGACGTGAACACAAAACCTCAATCTCTCTTCTCAGGAACCTGTATTCCATCTCTGTCTCTGCCTTCCTACCGTCCGAAAAAACCTTAATCCGAATACAACAATTTAAAAAAAGACCATTAGACTACATTTACATAAGGAGGTTGTGCACATTCTCCAGGGGTTTGTAGTTTTGACTGCCAAGGCTACTCAGATAAGGCGGCTCTGACAGGAGTGTAGGGGTGGAGTACATAAATTAATGTACAACAGAAGAGAGGAAATTAAATTACGGCACAGATGCAGAGGCTAGATACCAGGAAGACAGATAAGAGGTGAAATAGATGCATGGAAAACACAAACGCTCGACTGACTGGAAACACGACTGGCTGACAAACACATCCTGTGGGTGACATTTTAGTTGAGGTAGAAAGATTTAGAGCCTGTTTGCATCTGCGTCTAAAAGTTTTCCAAAAAAGTTTTACATCATACAGAAAAAAGATGAACTGTTTGATTTTTTTGATTTTTCACCTTATTTCCATGTTGTTTTTGTGCATTAAAAATCTTACTGACCACTAAAAGAAATTCATATTTGGTCATGAACTGTGGCTGCTGTTTACATGACATGCCTCCAAAGAAACACAGTGTCTGACCTGTACATCATTTTAACGTCTGGGTACGAGACTTTGTATAACAAGCAGGACAGCAGGTACAGATGTGAAGGAAAACTAGAGAAAACACGAAAACCTGGGCAACACTTGGGCCTGGGTCCATACCTGTAAATGTCTGTCCACATCTCAAATTTGTCTGTATTCAAATAGGTCTAGTGTTGTGCTCATTGATTGATGTTCCCCTGCCTGGAAAAACAACTGAGCCAATCACAATAGGAGTGATTAACAACAGTGATATCATCAATCTGCCCGTACCAGAAAACTGAACAAATAACTCTTAACTCGGCATATGCCTTTAAGTTAAAATTAAACTTTTGAAAGAGGAAATAAATTCTTGCTCTTAAAAATAAAACTCTGAATTTATATGCAACAAAACACACTCTTGCTAAAGACAACACAGCTCAAGGACAGTCTTGCTCAGTCTGGTTTGACCAATCTTTAGATCAATCTGAGATTAGTGAGCCATTTCCGGAGATTTATGAATCCTCTATATTTGTGCTACTCTTACATACAGGGATGTCCAAGGCCCCAACTAATGATTATTTACATTATTGATTAATCAGCATGTTATTATCTCGATAGTCGATAGTCTCACCTTAACTGCAAATGAAAATGCTGGCAGCTGGACTTCCTGTTGATTAGGGCAAAATACCAACAACTGTCAAACAGAAAACTGCCAACATGAAGATGATGTCATACTGAAACTAAATGGCAATTAGGTCTGCTTCTCAGGTTTGGACACTGCTGCCTCATCAACCTCTGGTCACACTCTCTTGAATTCTAACTTATGCCTCCATGCCTGATCTTTTTTTGAAGTCGAGGAAGCTTAAGATTGGGGAGAAGTGTCTGCAATATGCATATGAGAAGAAAAAGAGTTAGACTGATACTAAAAGTAGGGAGGCAGCGTGAGAAGAAAAAGGAATACATGAAAGCTCCAGTATGGAGATCTCGGTCCCAGCCACAGAGCACAGCAGGGGGTGCACTTAGAGGTCTCTCTTTTTTTCCAATGCCAATTTTTTTCTGAAGAAAACTGCATTGGGCACGGTGTGAAAGAACCATGTGCTCATCGCTCATTTTGTTCACAGAGTATATATTAAGTTGCTCTGATGTGAAAATGTGTGAGATCGAATGAGTGATAAACAACAAAGTGGCTGTATGACCTAAAAGCAGAAGTAGTAGAGACTGATTTAGTTGTTCCAAATACTTCCAGTATCAATGATGTCACAACAGCTGCGAACACAACTGATTCGGAGTAAAAGACATAAGAGTGTGAGTCACACATTTCCTAATTTTACCATGCGTCTCGGTGTGTGCACGCATGTATGAAGATATTCAGTTGTCAACTGGTACATCTTGT